GGTTTCATGTTTTGTGAAAGTGAAAGATCATATTTTTGCTCTAGCTGCTGTGTTGCATCTGACACAAGAAAACCCCTTTCAGACACAAGTGAACTATTGTAATGAAGGTGGAACATGAACTGTGAACATCTCAAGACAATGCTGTCTTTCATAAATGTGAGATTGGGGTAGATTATCACTTACGTTTATGCATTTATGCTATTTATTTACACTTTTTGTTACATTTGACTTTTTTGCTGTTTCATATATAAATTGTTTGTGTTAAATAATAATCAGTTTTACTTTTTGAAGCTAAAAGAGTGAGACGTTTTCAAAATATACATTTCCTCTGAGAAATATTCACCAGAAAGTACCAATGTTACCATGGTACTGCTACAGGGACTTCCCCCTATTATTCTTTTTTTTTTCATAACAGTCTAAAAGCACCAAAAATAATGCTTTAGATTTTTATCATTCAAGATATAATAAAAAATCACTGGAACAAAAGAATCAAATACATTTCTTGATATGTAAATGTGTCTTTAACCTGAAACATAAAAACGAAACTGAAGCAACGTTTTTAAGGCACTATTCTCATAACTGCATCATAAAATTATATTATATATTTTGACCAAATGTTTACTTACAAAAATGTCCTTTTTTAACCACAGTTTCCACAAAACTAGCACAAACACATTTAAGAAATATTGTTACTACTGTAAAACTGTAATAAATAAACATGGAATCCCCTCCAAACAGTCTTTCAGGATATCATTCATCGACATCTTTGTTCTTTGTGTGACGGCAGAAAAGGATTTCTTTCATTTGTGGAAATCAAACCGTATTGTGCTTACAGTGCAAAATAGAAAATAAAACATCATGACAATCTCATGCTTTCATTTAAATGTTTTCAACTTGAGTCATCACATTAAGAAAACTCTAGGATATGATAGGGGATTTTGGCAGGATTCTGAAGGGGTTGGCTTTTCATGTGATTTCTTACTAGAAATCACGTGACCTCACAGCAAGCCTCCTTTCTTGGCTCAGCCAGGCTTCTTTCCAATGATTTAGAAGAAGATAAAAGGAAAGAGTGTATAAAAAAACTGTAAGTCAAAGATGTGCCCTGAAAAGACCAAGGAAATGAAATCATAGCATGGGCTTAAATATAGTTTATTACTTCAAGAATTTATGACATTCACTGGGAAGAAATCACCTTAGACTTAAAATAAAATATCTTTTCCAGCAAGTCTGATTGTATCCTTGTTTTCTCAGTTAATTCCATGAATGCAGTAAGGATGTGTGATCTTTAAAGAAATAATATTGCTGTACTGCACAAATTGAGTATAGCAGATATAAGTACAGCAAATCATTATCCTGAAGTGCTGCTTAGAGTAAACATGACATTCCTGTTAAAGTTCTTTTAACAGGAACTATGTGTGGAGGCAGGAATAAGGCTAAGTGACATTTCCAAGGACATGCTGGAGTGTGGAAATAGGGCTTTTCCTGGAAGAGAAAGCTGATGCTCTGGATGAAGGAAAAATGCCTCACTATGTAAGTAAGACCTGAGATAACACAATGTGATTAGCATTTTTAGTCAATGAATGTACATCATGCCATTTTTCTACGGAAAATGTGAGTAGCGCTTCCTGTGCAAATGTCAAGGTCGCTAAACTGGGTGGTTGCTAGATCATTGCCTCAATGTTGCTGTATTGCTTTCCTGGGTGGATATTTAGTGGTCCATTTTTTTTCCCAGCTGATGAACGATAAAAACATTGACAGCTAGTTAGAAATTAGCTACCCGATTTTAAAAGACCTTGAGAATTTAAAGCGGCAGATGACATAACCACAGTGCGCTTACATGTCAAAGTGTAGTACTGCTGAAATCTGTATGAGCAATAGACCTTAATCAGGTTAGATGCCACATTTAATTTAACATGGATGAAAACGAGGCTGTGAGGGATAATCTTTACAACAATACACGCACTGTATAAAGGTCCTAAATCACATAATTTCGCCAACTTACAACTTTTAAAACTGTGTTATGAAGTTTTCGTCTACTTTTCGGAGAGACGTTTCGTCAGCTGAACAATCGTATGTTGTTAAACAACTGTACAGTCCATTGAACGCACTGTACTTAAGTCCCTCACAGCCTCATTTTCATTCCTGTCAAAAATGAAATATGGCGCTACCTTAAGGTCTATATTGACGCTTACCTTAACAAAAAAACACTAATTGCATCAACCCGGTAGAGGGCTTCATATTGCGTTAACATTAAATTGCTAAAAAAAATAAAGAATCGTGAAGATTATAAAATTGTGTGGGATGAATGCAGGTAAATGTTACATAAGCATACAAACATTCTGACCCTGATGGTGGCTGGTTGTATCTGAGAAGTACACTGTATCAGTGCTCTTTATCACTGCTACACCCTCACCAAATTACCTTCAAATGGCTTATTTGGGACATATTTGTTTTAGTAGGAATACAGCTTGAATTGCCTGGGGGTTTGCCCTGATTTGCAGACTTTGAATTTGTTCAGTCGGAGGATATCAACCCTATTCAGTATTTTGAGTTGATTTTAGAATACAAATTGTTTTCAGATAGCCTACATAATCTAGCAACAAGGCTCATGTTTCTGTGTGAGTTTGTTGTGTTCGGAAAGACTAAAGTCTGGTAGTGTGTGATCCTCAGTCATTTAGTGTATGATGTCCATTTTTTTCCTTAATTAGAAAGTTGGCAACTGTATGATACCTAGTGTTTGAAAATCTGTTCAGATCTGAAAAGTCATGTAGTGTATTCCAACATTTAGTCTATATTTGTTATTCCCTTTCTCAGCTTAGTTTTTTGCTATGCTGGATCATCTATTAACGCTTTATAACAGTTAATTCCAGTCTCCAAATTTAATCCAACAGAACTGGATTCTCGTTGCTTATCTGTGTTTGTCCCACTTTGTGTAGTAGTGGCAGGAATTTTTCAGTGACTCTTTCTAGAGATTCCATTGGTTTTATGAGTGTGTCCTTGAGTTCAATTCGTTCAAAATGCTGATTCATTAAGAAACGGAACACAACTAATGTGTATTGCTAGGAGATGCAACAGTTGATTCTATTTTGACTTTGTTTGGAACTATTTTGGAGCAAGAAGTAACTGTCAGTATTGTATCTAAATGTAAGTCACTCCATTGTGAAAGAAATAAACAAAGTTAGGCTGCAAGTCTCATAAGATTTCTTATGCTGTTTGTTAAAATAGAAGTCTCATTAATATGAGTTTTTCATACTACGCTTTAACCTAAAGAAAAATATCATATTGATGTTAATAACATAAAGCCTACATTTGAGATGACTTCTTAGGTATTAAAGCTTGTAAGGCTATGGATGCCTCAGTTCACTGAGAAGACACAGGGCACTCTGTTCTTCAGTGAGAACTCAAAGTTGGCAACTGTATGATACCTAGTGTTTGAAAATCTGTTCAGATCTGAAAAGTCATGTAGTGTATTCCAACATTTAGTCTATATTTGTTATTCCCTTTCTCAGCTTAGTTTTTTGCTATGCTGGATCATCTATTAACGCTTTATAACAGTTAATTCCAGTCTCCAAATTTAATCCAACAGAACTGGATTCTCGTTGCTTATCTGTGTTTGTCCCACTTTGTGTAGTAGTGGCAGGAATTTTTCAGTGACTCTTTCTAGAGATTCCATTGGTTTTATGAGTGTGTCCTTGAGTTCAATTCGTTCAAAATGCTGATTCATTAAGAAACGGAACACAACTAATGTGTATTGCTAGGAGATGCAACAGTTGATTCTATTTTGACTTTGTTTGGAACTATTTTGGAGCAAGAAGTAACTGTCAGTATTGTATCTAAATGTAAGTCACTCCATTGTGTATTGAAGTGTTGTTTAAAACTTAAAACTTAAACTTATCACACTCATAATCCTGCTTTTGGTCTGAATATGTGTTACAACACCTCTTTTGCTGGTATGCTGTTACTTAATTAGAAACTGAGAGGAATTCTCTCTTGATCTGTGTTATCTACTGTCTCAACGCATTCCATTCTCCCCCCCTCAGACTATAAAGCCCTCCTCTCCCTGACATCAAAGAAATAAACAAAGTTAGGCTGCAAGTCTCATAAGATTTCTTATGCTGTTTGTTAAAATAGAAGTCTCATTAATATGAGTTGTTCATACTACGCTTTAACCTAAAGAAAAATATCATATTGATGTTAATAACATAAAGCCTACATTTGAGATGACTTCTTAGGTATTAAAGCTTGTAAGGCTATGGATGCCTCAGTTCACTGAGAAGACACAGGGCACTCTGTTCTTCAGTGAGAACTCAATACTCCAAATACTCACACAGATACCATTGTGCTTCCTGACTTCTTATTAGGATTAAACCAACTTCCTCACTTTCTGGGTTCTTGTGGGATAAAATTGTATTGTCGTGAAGGTCAATTTCTCTATGCACTTATGTTTATGTGGGTGGGGGCATGTTGTCACATTATGTGAATGCATGAATGTATGTCAGTGTGGTTTTATTGTGTTCACTTTAAGCGGTATAACAAAAATATTATTTGATTATAAAATTAACAAATACTATCCTAATTTGATAGAGTTTTGAAATTGGTGTTAGATGCCAACATACAAAACTACTGCTAGAGAAAGCAAGCAGGTTATTTGTGACTTTAATCAACATACAAAAATCCTATCCCTTGTGACATGTAGCCCCAGTCTCCCCTTTTAATATAGTACCAGATAGAAAGAAAGAAGCAAAGAAAGAAAAACTGGGAACTCCCGGTAATTTCCAGTATGTCATTGTGAATGTGAATGTGTATGTGTATGTGTATGTGTGTTTACAGACTTCAAGTGGAAGTGAAGTTATGTGAAATGTGAAGGAGAGATATATAGAGCTAGTAGCTAATTCCTAAATAGGGGGGCATTCCAGTAATCTCCCTCTCATCTCTAAGAGAAAGGCAGTTCTGCTGACCAAACACGTGGTCACTCTGGCACTCTTTTAGTCTTTCACTGGGTGAAGTGTAACGCAGTTCTCACAAGGGAGAAGAAGAGCATCTCGTTTCTAAAGCTCAGGACTAGAGTTTAACATTCTTTTAAAATGCAGAAGGGCTCGTTTTCTCTCACCACATCTGTTCGGATTTTCTATGCGCGACTCCTCGGATTTTGTTTCCTGTACTTCTCACAAGTTGCAGGTAAGCGGTTTCAAAATATTTCGTTTGTACTTTAGTCTACAAGATGACGAGAATAAACGCGCCACTTGCTTTCGTAGTTCGTATTTTTTGTAGAATATGTCACCGGTTCAACCCAAGAGTACACGGCATTATTCATTGACATTGCTGCGTCTGAGGCCGCCATACTATTTCAATGCTATACGTCTGATAAATTGTATCATCATGAAACAATCTTAAACAACTAACAAAATGTTGTGTCTTCCCGTGCAGTAACTTGATAGGCTACTTAAGTGCCGCCTATTCTGATTTGCTCGTACAGGTAAGGGTGCGAATAGGCGATATGACTTTGAGAGGAGTCCGATTTTTTTTTAAATAACTTTTTAGAAATGTTAGTCGTTGTACCCATAGATGTGTGTGTGTGTGTATATATACTAACGGAAGAGCACGAACAGCCTGTTGCCATGGTTACTTCGTCAGTCGAAAGTGTTGGTGAAAACACGAGCTTGCGCTTGTCGGTTTTGTGGGCTACTTTTAAACCTTAAAAAAGTAAAGCCATATAATATAAGTATATGTACTTTTAAGACCGCATACTTTTGGTTTTGTCTACACCTCGAGTAGAGTCATTTATCTGCGTTGAACCATTCCAGTATCTGAAGAAGATCACCTGCAAATAACTTACCAGAGGAGGGCGCAAGACCATTTTCATTCAGGTTTCTTTATATCGCTATGGGGGTTTTTCCTCCCCAGGCGTTGTCAAATCTCTTTAAAGGGGTCATATGATGCGATTTCAATTTTTCCTTTCTCTTTGGAGTGTTACAAGCTCTTGGTGCATAAAGAAGATCTGTAAAGTTGCAAAGACTAAAGTCTCAAATCCAAAGAGATATTCTTTATAAAAGTTAAGAGTCAACCACACCTACCTAAACCGGCTCGTTCTAACACGCCCCCACATGTCTACGTCACGATGTGGGAAGATTTGCATAATGCCGCCCAAATGTTCACGCAAAGAAAGAAGGCGTAACTTTTATTCTCGCTGTAGTATTGTTGACGCTTTCCACCATGTCCTGAAGACGCTGTGTGCTTCGTTGTGAAAGCGAAACTACTTTGTTTGGCCTTCCAAAAGAGGACGATATCCGCTTTGTCATGCCTGGAGCTGATCCGTGCTGGTCGCTGAGTAAATACATCAGCTTAGTGCTGTGGATCGCCGGATCGGCTTTCACCGTGGTACGAAGCCCGGGGTCATCACACTCTAGCCCGGCTTTAGATCACACTGTGTTTTTCGTTGTGAAAGCGAAACTACTTTGTTTGGTCTTCCAAAAGAGGACACGACTACAAATCAGTGGTTAAGTTGTATTTACAACACTGTTCCAGAACAGTTTAACCCAAATATTCAGATGTGTGCAGCACATTTTATGGAGGACTGTTTACTGATCCTGGGAGAGTAACGTTAGACTAAAATGCCAGTTCTGACTCACGTAAGTACGTTTTCATTTAAAGGATTTGCCACTGATGATTCAAACGCAAGTTTTGGGCAGTGTAGAGTAGCGCTTGTAGTTTGTCATTTCTCTGATCACAAATACAGACAGAGTTTTATGTTTATGCGGCGCGATGCAATGCAACGCAATGCGTAAAAAGACAGTATAAGTCATTATAATCCGTAATTATGTCCCCACTGGATGCAACAAATGCCTCGTTTATAATGGGTTTTAATGTTTTTGTCTCGTCGCTCCGGCCGGGACACGGCATCAACAGTTTGGTGAGGGGCGTAACATTTCCGTCTCACGCTTAAGGTATTCAGCCAATCACATCGCACTGGATAGCTGGCCAATCCCAGCACACCTCTTTTTTTTTTTTGACCGATGAGCTTTGTAAAAATCGACGCGTTTCAAAAAGCGCATCATATGACCCCTTTAAAACTTAACATGCAAGATAAGCTGCATGTTTTAAAATGCTCTTAGAGGTACTGAATGGAAAGTGTAGGCTCACATTAGAAAAACATTTACATCACCTAAACAAACACACAGCAACCCATAACGGTTAAAATCCAATCTCTCCAATGTGATATCAATGTGATATCAATGTGATATCAAAAAGGTCTCTTGTAGTGGGGCTAGACGGTCCAACCACACCCTAAACATAACTCCACCCATTAGGTCCACAGAGGCGGAGCTGGACTAGGTCAAGCCCCTCCCAATACGTCCAGGGGGGAGGGGGGTAGGTTGATGTCATATCACTTGGCTCTGCAGTGAGCACTAGCTTGCTTAGTGAAGCAAGGCTCATTGCTGTGGGTTAATTTGGTACGCATTCCGCTTTCACTACTTCACCTTCTTTTAAATTCTTGTATATTTTTCTACTGAGAAGGATGACTGATACATTAATTACAATTAAACTAAAATCAATTCAAAACGAAATTCACTCTGAAGAAAGTTTTCCAAAAAATAACATTAAACGAAGTGGTGAAAAATCTTGTTTTTTTTTTTAAATCAAGTTTTTCTACATTTACATTTACTTCCCATGGCCCACCTCTTATGATGACCCTATCTAGGTCACACGTGATCTATTTTCATTAGAAAAACACACACACACTGCCGTTCAAAAGTTTGGGATCAATAAGATTTTTAATGTTTTTTAAAGAAGTCACTTCTTTTCATTATGGCTGCATTTATTTGATCAGAAATACAGAAAAAAACAATAATATTGTGAAATTATTGCAATTTAAAGTAACGTTTTTTTATTTTAATATACTTTAAAATATCATTTATTTCTGTGATGCAAAGCTGAATTTTCAGCACCATTACTCCAGTCTTCAGTGTCACATGATCCTTCAGAAATCATTCTAATATGATGAATTATTTTCAATATGGGAAACATTGAATTTTTTTGGAACCTGTGATACTTTTTTCAGGATTCTTTAATGAATAAAACTTTAAAAAGAACAGCGTTTATTTAAAATAGAAATCTTTTGTAACAATATACACTACCGTTTTTTTTTTTTTAAGAAATGAATGCTTTTATTCAGCAAGGATGTGTTAAATTAATAAAAAGTGGCTGTTCTTTTACAAACACTGTTCTTTTTAACTTTATACAGATACTTCTGTAATGCATAATATGCACTCTCAGTGGATTTTATATAAAATATTCTTAAAGTGTGACTAAGCTTTTGGTGATTTTGGAACTACTTTGGTAAGGTGTCTGTTTTACATGATCAACAGTAATGAGGTATGTTGTCAGAAAGCAAATGATCACACACACATACACTTATGATATATGATAAACAGCTTTGGTTATAAGAAACATTTTTAATGCTGTAACAATAATTTAGTATGTTTGGTTATCAAGCTACTACTTGCAAAGACAAAACACTCAAACCAGTTGAAAATGTATAGGTATAACAAATATTCAGCCACTCGAATCCTGTCTGGAAACAGGACAAGGGATCACATCACTCTTAGAGTCTTTACATTAACTCCCTGTCAGATTCCGTGTTGAGATTAAAATTCTCATGCTTATAAGGTTTTGCACGGTTTGGCACCTCATTATCTCTGTAGGGAGTTTTTAACCCCCTACACACCAGTGCATGATCTCCGTTCCTTTGTATTTTGCCATTTAATTGTTCAGTTTACTTGTTCAAAATCTATGGGTGATCGGGGTTTTTCTTCAGTTTCTCCAAAACTTTGGAATTCTTTGCCTGCCGTGATAAGGCAAGCAAAATCCCTTTTTTTTTTTCTTTTTTCTTTTTTAAATATTCCCTTAAAGCTTTTTTGTTTGGTTAGCTTTTACCTATTTAGTTTGTAATTGTCTTATTTTTAATTTATTTGTTAAACTTTTGATAGTTTGCTTTTGTTTGGTATTTTATCTTTGTCTTTATTTCACTTATATTAATGCATTGTTTGTATAATTGTATGTCCTATTTGATCTTATTCTTGTGAAGTGCTTTGAGATGTTATTTTTAAAGGCACTATTGAAAGTTTATTATAAATAATACATTGATTTACCATTAAGACTAGTTTTAGACTAGTACCATTAAGGATTAAATTAAGGTCAGATGTATAATAATAATAATAAATAATAATAATAATAATAAACAAACCATGCAAATTAAGGTTTTAAGTTAAGTGCATTAAAAAGAAAATTGAATAGTTGTGACTTTACTTGAAAGACACAGTGTATATACATGTATACATACATTTTAAAAGTACATTTTGATTTTGTGTAGTTTGTTAAGTCAACTGAAAATATGTAGAAATGTTAGGGGGAAAATCCCTGGCATTTTTGCGGATTTGTTGTCAGATTAGAAATAGGACTTTTGTTTATTATAACAGTATAAATGATTAAAATACTGTAAATCACAGCCTACTCTTCAATGTGTTTAACAGGTACAAAAGCTGAATGTCCTGTTCAGCTCAACCAGAAGAGTGTTGTTGTGAGATACGGCGGTTCTGTAGCAGTTAACTGTAGCGCTTCAGTCCCACATAAAGGGATGGGATGGGAAGCCAGTGAGGGAGCAGTGCCCATGACCACAGACAGTCTGATCACATGGAATGTGTCAAATCTGATTGAATGGGACATACAGCCATTCTGCTTCATAAACCATGAGGAACAGTGTCAAGTAGAGCTCCCAGTCACTATTTACAGTCAGTTTCCCTGTTACTTATATTTTTTGTCTTTTCATTCTCAAAAATATCTAATGTACATTCATCACTGCAGATTTCAGAGTTTGTAAATCTTCCTCCACAGAGACTCCAGACAGTGTGTCCATCAGCATTGTGGATCACAGCGGACCAATGATAGAGGGAAAGCAGTATGAGCTCCAGTGTGATGTTCACGATGTGGCTCCTGTTCAGTATCTCACTGTCAAATGGTACAAAGGACAGACTCTGCTGAATCAAACCACCTTCACTGACGCTAGCAAGACTCCAGTGAATGAAACCACCACACTCCTGATCCGTCCAGACAGAGCTGATGATGGAGCTCAATACAGGTGTGAAGCAGTGCTGGAACTGGGAGCAGAAGGACCTCAACCTCCTCCAAAAGAAATATCAGACCCTTTCAATATCACTGTATATTGTAAGCAAGATCCATCAGCTCCTATGATTAATCTTTTTGGAACATGTTAACATATCCAAATCAAGCAGACTTGTAGTAGTTGTAGCACTTACCATGCGACACACTGTGTCAAGTTGTGTAATAGGGATCAGATGCAGCATGTGACTTTTTCTAGTCAAATATCTAAATTTGGGTAGTTTTGTTGAAAACTACGAGATTAAAATGAATATGGATTAACATAAGAAATTTAAGATGCAGTATGCAGTATGCAAAAGCTCTTAACCTGTGTGTTTTTGGCTCCTTCCTGTAGTTAAACCGATCATCAATGAGACCAAACTGCCCTCCATAGTGCCTGTGTTTCGAGGGTATCCAGAGGTGCTTGTTTGTGAAGCCGAGGGAAACCCAAAACCAACAATCAGCTGGAGCCTCGGCGCAAATGTTATAGTATATAATGAAACTCTTACTATATCAGAGTCAACACCTGAGTATGTGTACTGCGATGCAAACAATTCTGCTGGCAGGACCATCAGACAAGTAAACGTGTACATACAAGGTAACTATGCATTTGTGTGTCTTTTTTTTTTAGCAGTTTCCAACAGTTGTTTCAATTTGCTTTAGTAATACTGACAGTAATACTACAGAAAGGAATTGTGACTGTTTCAGAATTTAATTTTTTTATTTGCTGGTCTGATATTAAACTAAATGTTTATTTTGGTTATATTAAATATGCAAATTATCATGAAAAAACAATTTAATAGTATGTTGTCAGGATAGATTCACAGCTTATTTTGTGGTTAGTGCTTTGGCCTTTCACAGAGTATTTGCACTTTAAGCTGCTTGGTTTGTTGGTCTTGTAATGCTCCGCTTGCAGTGTTAATGTCACTGTGATCACATTAACACTGTGTTTCACTGCTCCGGGTGTGTGTTCACGGTGTGTGTGTGTTCACTGCTGTGTGTGTGCACTTTGGATGGGTTAAATGCAGAGCACTAATTCCGAGTATGGGTAACCATACAAGGCCACATCACGTCACTTTCACTTTAAAAAAAAAAATTATGGCTTATATTTAAGTGTTATGTTTTGCGTCATCATTGTTGTCTTGCATGGATTTTTCTAGACTTATTTAAATTAGTTGCTTCACAATATGTTGAAGGCATGATGCAGGATAGAGATCAATCCCAAGTTTTGCTTGCTTGGATTTCATTCACTAAATTGCTGATTTACTCATATATTTGTTTTTATTTTTGACACAGAGAATTACATAGGCCTACACGTAATATTAGGCATTATTGTTGCTGTAGTGGTGGCCATCTCAGTCATCTTCATCTACTTGACCTACTATAAAAAAACCAGGACGGGCCATTATGATGTGAAGGAGCCCAATGCACGGAAAGAACTCTTAGCGTAGCCAGAACAGTCTCCATGAAGGAACTCTGTCAGAACAATATCTCTGCTTTGGTTATTATGACTCCCTAAGCTAGATCCATCTGCTGAGCTGTCTGCAGTCAGATCAAATTTGGATGAGAAATCATACAGATCAGTGTTATTTCACTTCACTCTCAGATCCAACGGACAGTCACAGTATCAGACCCTAACACTGGTGTCTGAGGATGTTTATCAACTAAAAATGGCTGAATATCATCCTTATTAGGCTTTTATTGGATTGTAGTATGTTTTTATAAAAACTACACTTGTATTGTATGTGTCAGGCACACTGATCATTCTGAATATATGAAGAGTTTGGTTCCAAAACGCGATAAACGCCATTTAAAAAAAAATTGAGTTTCCGCCAAAATCAGTATTGCATCTGGTCGGTATTGAAAAGTAAATTTTTAATTTTACGCAAAATGCGATATCCGCCTAGTTATTCTATCATGTTTTCTCCCTTTTTTCCAAACCGCGACAAACGCCAGTCTCCCTTTTCTGCAGAATGCGACAGACAGTAACAACCAATCACAGCGCACCATTCCACGCACTGTAAACAGTAACAACCAATCACAGCCTTTTATTTATTTATAAATACATTTATTTATTTTAAGCTGTAAAATAATTGAAAATATATTTTTTAAACTGTGCTAAGTTTAAAAAAATATATTGTGACTGCAGTGGCTCTACATTAGCTTAAGATCTTAGCAAGACTTCTATATATATATATATATATATATATATCTTATATATATATATAACCTCTTTGTTTTATATAGCTCTAAACCTGGCTGATGTATTCTACAATAGCTAAAACAATTGTTCCGAAGCTTGTATGTGTATAGCATTAGTCAAAGCATGAAACTGGCTGCCAGTTTATAAGCCTTAACAGTGCATGCATTTTGGTTTGTTTTGCTGGCTGACACATTGACATCTGTGCAAATGCAAATGTTTTTATTTACTGTTGAAATGCCTTATGTCTCACCCTTGTGCATTCTGACACTGAAACTGTTAAAAAGTTACAAAGATATTAAAAAGAGTAATACGATGAATTACTTTAGGTGGCAAAACTGTTACTTGGAATTACTAGTTGTGTCTACTTGTGCACTTCTTTGATTCTATAGCTTCGTTATTTGTAAAGCGCTCGCTACTGAAGAACACTACTGAATGCCCTATTCAGCTCGAGTGTTGCCTGCTGGTACAACAGATCTGTTTCTGTTAACTGCAACAATTGGGTCACAACAAGGAGGCTTATGAGTGATGCACACTCACAATCTCATCTGTCCATGAGTACTGAGTATTCAGACATGCTGCTCCTTTCTGCATACTGTACAGTAGGGAAGTATGCACTAGTCATGACCAATGTTTGTGGGGGTCCAGTATCCCTGATAGCACACATACATCTCTGAGACGTCTATTTGACATCTGCATTTACATCTGCAAGACGGATATCTGTCCATGAGTACTGAGTATTCAGACATGCTGCTCCTTTCTGAATACTGTACAGTAGGGAAGTATGCACTAGTCATGACCAATGTTTGTGGGGGTCCAGTATCCCTGATAGCACACATACATCTCTGAGACGTCTATTTGACATCTGCATTTACATCTGCAAGACGGATTTTTTACAGTGTTTGCTTATCTGCAATACGTCTATAAGACGTTTTCTATCAGATGTCAAATAGATGTCTACTAGATGTCTTTAAGATGTTTATGATTTAGAATGTATGTAAAATTGACATCTTACAGACGTCTATCAGATGTCTGTACACAGCAGATGCTTTCCAGATCAAGTGATCTTTAACAGACATCTTGCAGACGTATGTGTGCTATGACTCACATTTTGTGACACATTTTCAAAGGTGGTATTTAAAGACTTAATGCGATGTTCAAAACGACTTTACCTTATCTTAGAGATAGGCGAATGAGCTCTCTCTATTTCTAGTCCCCGATTTGTCGTGACAGGGTGCAAATGAATAAAGTTGCAACGTGCACTATTAGAGAGATGTGTGGGGGAGGGTTAACATTGACTAAAACGGGCTGCTGTGCGAGGGTAGAGGTTTCCTGCGATAAATGAAGGGTCCGAGACCGTGTGTTGTGTTACTGCCTGAACAATTAAACACCGTTAGCTGGTTAAAACGCTTTCAATACCATTAAAAATGACGGCGCGGGGCGATCGGATCCTCTTCACGTGTCTCTATTTCTGGATCTGCTGTCGCTGTAGTACGCGTTGGATGGTAGGACATTTCTATAACCAGTGTTATGTTTTTCCAATCCTGAAGAAAAAGTCATATATTTTTAGATCAGTTTTCCGTGTTAAACTTTAGAAAGGGGGTTTAAATAAGTTAAAGAGTGATTAAAAGGCCCTGGTATTTTATTTCCTCCGCTGTGGCTCGCTTCTGAAAATACTTTGAGTAACACTGTTTAAATAGCGATAGAATAACGTTGTCAAACAAGATAAATACACTGTGTTTGCTATCATTAACAGCCTGCATTGAGCGGTTTAACCACAGCCACAGTCTGTCAGCAATTGCAAATATACTGTAGAGTTAAATTAATTATACTTCGTCACTGTTAGACTGAAGGTAAGGGGTCTCCTGAAGCTATAGTATTTATGAGGAAACATCACAGTTTTTGTTTCACTGGGATTGCTGCCAAATGTTTACATGCTTATTTTCAGTTAGTCGTGACTTGCAAAACTGTTCTCTTGCTTGAACAACTCGTACATGCAACTGTGTTTGGGTTTCTGCTAAACATCTTAAATCATGCAGCCTATAGCTGGTTTAATGTCCTCAGGTGGTCTCCCAGGTCTGGCTATAGTTTTTGAGGGGTTTGGGGCTGTGCAACTAAATCAGCTAAACACTAGGTTCGCCTAGCTGGGAGTCCAGTGTAAACCAGCTAGTTTAGGTTGGTTTAAGAGGTTTTAGTTTTTTAGAAGGGATATAGAGAAAATGTGTCCATGAAGTCCAAAGCATAACAGCCTGCCAGCATTTGCTGGAAATACCACACTGCTAACAATACAAAATAGGAAGTTGTCAGTTCACAGAATGGAAGGAAAGGCTAATGGACAGTGTTACTCACTTAACTAAGTGCACTGGGAAAACTACACAAGATTGTGACTCTGTTTTGAAACATGGTTGATGGTTCTTAGTGGTCAAAAAGCAATAGCTGCAACATACCAGCTACAAACCTACCTTGTGCCAAAACAACAGTCAGCTTAAGCATGTATATGTTTTTAAAAATACATTTCTGTAATTTTTTGCACTTATTTGAAGAATTTGGGATTTCAGCTACTCTGTTATGCTTGATATGTCTTCCAGATATTTCCATCAGCACTGTGAATCACAGAGGACCAATGATAGCTGGCGAGTGGTATGAGCTCCAGTGCTTCATTCGGAATGTGGCTTCTTTTAAGATTGTTGATGTGAGATGGTACAAACTGAATCAAATCAACGTCACTGACACCATCAAGACTCCAGCCAATTTAACATATAAAGTCCCGATCTGCCCAGACAGAGCTGATGATGGAGCTCAATTCTGGTGTGAAGCAGAAGGACCTCAACGTTCAACAGTGTCATCAGAACATCTCAGCATTACTGTACATTGTATGTCAAATAATTTGTCCAAGTTCTTAGCAGGTATTTCAGTGGTCTTGATTATTATCATGTGAAACCTGTTTTTTCTTTGCTCTTTCCTGTAGTTAAACCGATCATCAATGAGACCAAACTGCCCTCCATAGTGCCTGTGTTTCGAGGGTATCCAGAGGTGCTTGTTTGTGAAGCCGAGGGAAACCCAAAACCAACAATCAGCTGGAGCCTCGGCGCAAATGTTATAGTATATAATGAAACTCTTACTATATCAGAGTCAACACCTGAGTATGTGTACTGCGATGCAAACAATTCTGCTGGCAGGACCATCAGACAAATAAAAGTTGTATTAAAAGGTAACTATGCATTTTTGCATTTGTTTTGGTTTACATTTCCAACTCTTTCCGCTTCCTTGCAGTTTAAATGTAGTTTTACTTTAGAATATGGGGATGTTTCAAAACTGTACGTTTTATCAGGCTAGACACTTGTCTAAAAATAAAATGTATGATGTTCAGAAATCATAATGAATAAAATTGACCAATTCATTAAAAATGATGTAAGAGACACTGAATGATGTAATCACAATGCATTGAAATGTTTTGATTACACATGTACACGTGCTATGATTAACCATTTAATTTTGCTTATTTGCTTCTGATATGGTAAAATCATGAAGTATGTTTTTTTCCCCCAGCTATTTTAGCACTTGTCTGTTTAGGCTGTGTTATTTGTCTAATCTTTTGGTGTGCTTTATTTCTCTTGACACAGAGGATTACCTGCCCTTAATAAAATTGACCAATTCATTAAAAATGATGTAAGAGACACTGAATGATGGAATCACAATGCATTGAAATGTTTTGATTACACATGTACACGTGCTATGATTAACCATTTCATTTTGCTTATTTGCTTCTGATATGGTAAAATCATGAAGTATGTTTTTTCCCCCCAGCTATTTTAGCACTTGTCTGTTTAGGCTGTGTTATTTGTCTAATCTTTTGGTGTGCTTTATTTCTCTTGACACAGAGGATTACCTGCCCTTAATCAGAAGAAACAGTTATTTCAACAAAAAAACATCAAATTTGAAATGTAACGCAGGGAATTCTGGGAATGTCAATTTACGGTTATTCACTGTAAATTATACGGTATTTTTCACTTCCAAAAACGGTATACTACTGTAAATTTATGTCCAATACATGTAATGTCCAATACAGTTTTTCACCGTATATAGTAGGGGAATTTACCGTTAACCATTTAACAGGTTTTTACTGTAGCATTTTCACAGTCTTTTACCGTTAAATTCACGGTCATTTTTTACAGTGCATGACAATACAAGCTGTTTATTATAAAGTATTCAATGCTGTTATTACAACAAATAATCGGGCTATCATTAATCCTTGTAATCATATTAATAATGAGTTATGATGATAACAGGATTGACACATAACCTGTGGAAAAAAATGTGTCTTCTAAATTATGAATAAAATGTTTATTTCCTGTGACATGTACTTGATTGCTAAAACAGAAAGGAGAGGTTGAGAAGGCAAGGCCAAGACAGGACAAAAATGCATATTTATGGAGGAAACACTGAAATAAAATGAAAATTGAAAATAAATGTAGTGGCTTTTTCTTTGACGTCTTTACAAAAGATAACACATGGTAAAAGGTGGTGCCCACTTGTTGTTGTAAATTGCTTACACACTTGTGTGAGGGACATGCTTTAGAATGCCCCTGCTGTGTCAGTGAAGTTTCTAAGTTTCATTTCCCAGATGGTAAGAATCGATGAGCCTCTTTGTTTTAAAAGAGTCATAAACTGTGATAGACTGATGGTCTTCTACAATATCCAAAAACTTTTCTTGTCTGTTTTGCATGCAGTTGGTCAGTAAACAAGTTTTAACATGTGATGGTTGGTTATCTGTGTTTAGTCTTTCTAGTAAACAATATCTATATGCATTTATTCTGTGTTCTTCAATGTGTTTAACAGGTACACAAGCTGAATGTCCTGTTCAGCTCAACCCACAGAGAGCTGTTGTGAGATACGGCGGTTCTGTAGCAGTTAACTGTAGCACTTCAGTCTCACATAAAGGGATGGGATGGGAAGCCAGTGAGGGAGCCGTGCCCATGACCACAGACAGTCTGATCACATGGAGAGTGTCAAATCTGATAGAATGGGACATACAGCCATTCTGCTACATAAACCATGAGGAACAGTGTCAAGTAGAGCTCCCAGTCACTATTTACAGTCAGTTTCCCTGTTACTTATATTTTTTGTATTTTCATTCTCAGAAATATCTAATAAATGTACATTCATCACAGCAGATTTCAGAGTTTGTAAATCTTCCTCCACAGAGACTCCAGACAGTGTGTCCATCAGCATTGTAGATCACAGCGGACCAATGATAGAGGGAAAGCAGTATGAGCTCCAGTGTGATGTTCACGATGTGGCTCCAGTTCAGGATCTCACTGTCAAATGGTACAAAAGACAGACTCTGCTGAATCAAACCACCTTCACTGACGCTAGCAAGACTCCAGTGAATGAAACCACCACACTACTCCTGATCCGTCCAGACAGAGCTGATGATGGAGCTCAATACAGGTGTGAAGCAGTGCTGGAACTGGGAGCAGAAGGACCTCAACCTCCTCCAAAAGAAACATCAGGACGTCTTAATGTTGAGTTGTACTGTAAGTTTTTTTATTGCTAAGCTTGCCGTATAATTCAGTTTATATTTTCTGAATGGCCTTCTAGTGTGAAGGATGTGCAACTGTCATATTTCATCACATGCAGATAATTGCTTATTAACACATAATTTGAATATTACATATTATGAATAGAATTAACACAGATAAAAAGGTTTCAGTTGTACAGTATTTTTCTGATCCGTTAATAACAGCTGCTCATCATGGTGCTGTTGTGCTATTAAATGTCTCTCTGTCCTCCTCAGATAAACCAAAACACTTCAATTCAACAGAGACCATCATTAAAAACGACGAGGTCACACTAAACTGTACAGTGAAGGCAAACCCGGCTCCTACGTACACATGGCACTCAGAGCATCTGAAAGAGGAGATCAGCTCCTCAGTGCTCCAGTCCTCCACAGTCCTCCTCAGTCCAGGAAACTACACGTGCACCACCACAAACTCTCTGGGAAGTGACAGCAAAGTGTTCATCATCAAATCTGAGCAAGCAGGTTAGTTTTGATTGAATAAACACTAATCTGCCTCTTTGCCTTCGGGCAGTTTAAAGTTATATTTACAGATTTAAAAATTTTTGGGGCTGTTCACACAGAATGCATTTTCTATTCCACTACTACGGAACGTTTCCATATTTTTTTGTGTGTAAACACGCTAGACAGATGTGTTTGACCTTTGAGCTTGTGTCTCGCATCTTTTGCAGCATCTTGCACATGACACATCATTCTAAAAACACAGTACTCAAGTTAAAAGGTTGTTCAACTTTTTAAAAAACGGGTCCCAAGACCTTGCATTTTTCCCCATTCCACTGCATACATCTCGCATTTTTCAAAGCGTGAACCTGTGTGAAACAGTCCTTACTGTACAATAGGGCTCTGCAGTGATGACTTATTTTTCTAGGCCAGTCTGAAAGTTAGCATTACCTAAGATTTTGGATTATTTCAGAAAATAAGCTCTGTGACCAACAAAAGTTAATGATTCTTGCACATTTTGTTCATAATGATAATCTCCATCTTCAATTATGAAGCCTAAAATTGGCAGAAGAAAAAAGCTAAATATGGGCTAGAAACAAACTAGACCATGGTCACATGACTTCAACATCGCTATAAATCCAACGTTCTGTCATGAAATTCTAGATGGTGCAGTCCAATAGGTTGTAACTCAATCTGACATAATGTCATCATTATTCACATGGCGCAGCTGATTGGATTCTTTTCGTATCAGCAGCCAATGAGCTTGCTGCTCAACATTCAAATACTCCCTCCACCTTCCCCAGCTCCACCTGTATAGACCTTTTACAGGGTAATTTCATATATGTTATATAGGGGGTTTATGTGTTACATGTGCAGCAGCAGTATTTCCTACATGCTCACAGCAGCATGTCTGTGGCTGTATTGGCAGTAGCAAGTCTCTGTACTTGCTCTGCCGCAGCAGTGTAGTAGATCTATTTAGCTAAAACCAAACACATTAGCATTGCCATGTACATTACCATGCTAAACTCTCCGAGAGTTGACATGACAGAACTATGCTTCTGACGAGTCTTTTAGTCTTTATTTATCAAACATTTTCCCTGAAAGTTTGAGCTAGAATCATTTGCAAGAGTGCGATTCTAAACACAATGAGGCTGTAAAAGTGGACTAGTTTTCCTGTTCGGCGTGATGATGTTTAACAACCTCTGTAGTTCCATTTAGCCACTTGTTAGCAACCACCTTTTTTAAGACAAAAAAAAAAGCATCGTAGAATAAAACATGAAAATATTTTGAGCTTGCATTAATCACAGATCTTATTTCAGGCATTTAACCAAAAACCCATTCACTTCCAGACAATTCATAGTTTTCACGTAATGTCACACCCTTACAGGAATGCCCACAACATGGCTTTCCTCCACTGACCACCAGTTATTTTTTACGAGGTTTGCATTAAGTAGTAATGTAGTAAGACAGTGATATTAAAAGATAACATTCAGTATACACCTTACTTTCTACAGGCAAGCAGATGCAGTTCAGCTCAAGCAGTTTAACGTTAAATGTTTTCCCATAGCAAACCACTATAAAGACAACACTTAACCATTTAGCGCATTGCATTCATATTCCGAGCTCATTTGCTTGCCTGTATAAAGCACGCATCATCAGTAAGGTGTGTACTGAATTTGATCTTTTTATATCTCTGTTTTAAAGGCACTTTAAGTCTTTTCACATTAAACTTTTTAGAATGTCCTGCTGTTTTCAGTGATTGAAATATTGCGGTGAGTGCTTGATATGGATTGCAAATGGCCAAAATTGCCTTTTTGTTAACATATCTTTGTTTTATTCTTGATCTAAGTATTTGAGGATTGGAAACAGATAGAAAATGGCAGGCTTGTGCTGCAGTTCTATGGATGTTTTGCCCGGCAGGTCTTGAAGCCAGTCATGTGACTGAAAACTATGGATTGAACCAGAAGTTCTAAAATGCTTACTCCTTTTTTTTCCTGCATTTTGGCCTACAAAATTCTGTCATCCATGCAGCACTATATAACAATGACTTCTGATACAGGGTGGTCTAAGCTTATGTTTGTGTTACAAATCTGCTTGTGCAATTTTCTAAGCATTAAAGGGATAGTTCACCCAAAAATGAAAATTTGATGTTTATCTGCTTACCCCCAGGGCATCCAAGATGTGGGTGACTTTGTTTCTTCAGTAGAACACAAATGAAGATTTTGAACTCAAACCGTTGCAGTCTGTCAGTCATATAATGTAAGTGGATGGGAATCACGGCTTTGGGAGTCAAAAAAACACACAAACAAAACCAAATTAAACCCTGCGGCTCGTGACGATACATTGATGTGTAAGACACAAAACGATCGGTCTGTGCAAGAAACTGAACAGTATTTATATTGTTTCTTACCTCTGATTTTCACCGCAATGTCCGAAATGTCTGTCCTGAGCGCGTTCTCAACAGCCAGCGCCTGACCGTCTTCTTCTTCTTGCTTTACGGCGGATCGCAGACTTATAAGTGCATTACTGCCACCTATCTCTCAAATATCTCAAACCATTGACACTCTATCAACAATCTCAATTAGGAGTGTCAATGGTCCATTTGAGAGATAGGTGGCAGTAATGCACTTATAAGTCTGTGATCCGCTGTAAAGCAAGAAGAAGAAAAAGACGCATCAGGCGCTGGCTGTTGAGAACGCGCCCAGGAGGACGCGCTCAGGACAGACAGTTCGGACATTGCGGTGAAAATCAGAGGTAAGAAACGATATAAATACTGTTCAGTTTCTTGCACAGACCGATCGTTTCGTGTCTTTTCACATCAGTGTATCGTCACGAGCCGCAGGGTTTCATTTGGTTTTGTTTGTGTATGTTTTTTTGACTCCCAAAGTCGTGATTCCCATTCACCTCCATTATAAGATTGATAGACTGCAACGGTTTGAGTTAAAAATCTCTGTTTGTGTTCTACTGAAGAAACAAAGTCACCTACATCTTGGATGCCCTGGGGGTAAGCAGATAAACATCAACTTTTCATTTTTGGGTGAACTATACCTTTAAGACAAAGCAAAACTAACTAGAAAACAAGTCAATAAAAAGAAAACTTTCGTTGGTTATAAACTATTACAAATTTATTTCATTTGAAATTAAAACCCTGAAAATGAGGAAGGAAACATGCATGTGTTTGTAACATTCAGCATATTTAAACAAGTTGATTATCTTAAACTCTCAGTATTGACTTATCCCAAAGTTCATTCTTTATCTACAGGGTGCTTTTGTGGTCTTGAATAAGCTTTGCATTTGCATTTAATGATTCATCAGGTGCTTTTAGGCGAAATGAGGAATAGTGCAACAATAGCCTCTTGTGGTCCCCGTACACTGGTGTTGTGTTCCTGCCAGGCTGCTCCAGGACTGCTGTTGGCAGTGTGTGTGTTGAACAACCAGTAGAGTCACGCTGTTGCTGAAGCTGTTGATGGATTCATCTGTTTATAAAATCATTAATGTCATTTCTCCCGCAGACAGAACCACATTCTGGGCTATTGTTTTATCCGGCGTGGCGGTGGCACTGGTGTTAATCGCCACTTATGTGATATTCAAGATCAGGTGTTCCAACAATTCTGTCATTTGATGGACAAGAGATGACGCCAAAGGGGTACATTCTCCTCAGGGAGATCATGAAAAACTTCTTATGGGTTATTCTTTAACGGAATAGGCTAGTTCACCCAAAAATAAAAATTTGCTGAAAATATAAGTCCATAATCTATAACAACACTTTCACCAGTGAAAAAGTCCATCCACTGTTATCCTCTCAAAATCCACCAACATATTTGTTTACAACCGTTTTGGACTGTTTTTCACTTGTAAAGCAGATTTTCATTATTGGGTGAACTATTCCTTTAATGAACTGACGTGATTTTGCTTGACTTGGGGTACTGCAGTACTGGGAACTATTACAGCACTTTTTTTAATAACCATATTCAATTTCAAATTAGATTTGTTGTTATGAGTTTTTATTAATCATTCCGGTCCTGATAGGACAAAATCATGTCTCATAATTGTCATAAAATGTCAACAATTCTGTGTTTTTCTGTCAATATGGGGTGCTGTGTGTACATTAATGAGGAAAAAAAACAACTTAAATGATTTTAGCAAATGGCTGCAAAATAACAAAGAGTGAAAAATTTAAGGGGGTCTGAATACTTTCCGTACCCACTGTATATACACACAAACACACACAGCCAAGTGACAGAAATAGCAGACGGTCTTCACCCTGCTGAGATGAAGCAGACAGTCTCACTTAAGATGCTTCACCCATCATCTCAGTTGTGTTTATGTGAGCTGCAGTGGAGGAGGCTTCGTTTGCATTTAGTTTTGAATGTACAATGACTTCCAATGATATATATATATATATATACACACACACACACATATATATATATATATATACACACACACACACACATATATATATATATATATACACATACACACACACACATATATAGGCCTATAATTTATTTAATATTACCAATGTTGTGTAATTATGTTCAATATATGGTAACTTTAGCTTGATCAATTGCTGAAGTACTGAGTCAGTGTAATCATTTACCATGGTATAAAAGGATACAAAGTTCAGGTACAAATGTAGTGACCCTAATTACACTACAAGGAAAACAGACCAGCAAAAAACTATGTAAATTGTTTTACTACACTAACATGAACACCACCACCACCAAGCGTTCTGCAATATATATATATACAATATTTATTTAAAAACATAACAAATAGGAAATGATAACCATCACATAGTCCACAAATATTGTGGAGGCAGTGTGAACAGTTACAGGAAGATGAGCGGTGAAAAGAAATCAGAGGAATATATTCTTATGGGGACAAATAGGGATTTGTGATAGGGACAAATGTGCTGTAAGTGCTAAGCAGAACCAGAGAATCCAACATTCTGCGTATAAAACACTGCCTATACCATTATTTTAATATAAAATGCCAATTCAGTTCATCACAGAGACATAAGTCAGTCAAAAATGTCAGTCCAGGTCAAAGGATCATGTGATTTCTGCAGTAAACCTGTAAATTAAAGAGACCGTTCAGCCAAAAATGTTCATTCTGTCATCATTTACTCACTCTCATGTCCTCCAAAGCCTGTATGACTTTCTTTCTTCTTTGGAATATAAACAGATATTTTGAAGAATATTTCAACTGTTTTGACTATAAAATGAAAGTCAATAGGTTCGGAATGACATGACCGTGAGTATCTATTCTTTTAACCTTAGATCCACTGCAGGAGTTTAGTACACAGTGCAAAATAGAGTATTCACCATTACTTGAGAACTGCTGAAACTGAAGACAATATTCAGTAACACATTCATTTGTCTGAGGTTATCTGTGAATATGCTACATAATTACGCATTCTGTCCATCTTTTTGGTAATCGCTAAAAAAAAAGCATTTTAAAAGATCCCAGATCTCCTGTGACCTCAGAGAAGAGGCCACACGCTGTTCCACCACCGCTCACTGCAACCCAGTGTTCTCGTCACACTGTTTTACAGCCACAACTGCCGAAATCATTAAGCGGAAGGTCCATCCTCTCTCTTCGTGTAAGGTGTGATGGCTAGTTAAAGCAGTCTCTATCTCTCAGCCTCCATGATGATACTAGCATGCTCAGCGGAGGCTTGCTGAGTCACGGCTGCCGGCCAGCCTGGTGACGGCGTTTGCGGCATGAGCTGACCTGGAGTCCATCGCCCCTGGTGACCAGGGGTTGCCGGAGGGCTCATGGCCCAGTTGGTGTGAGGAGCTGGTGACGTAGCCATAGAAGCGATGGGACTGCTGTTGCCGAAGCTCTCGGAGGCTTTAAGACAAGAGAACATGGCTAGGGCATCTGGGAAGTTGGGGGGTGTCGCAGGTGTGTTGGCTGGAGTGCACATCTGGAAACAAAGAGAGAACCAATTTAAAACTGGTACTGGTAATGGATTGTTTAACCCACAACCATCAGTTTCATAAAGCAGATTTTAACAACCACGTCCACTGAAATGGGTCATGAATTGCATTTTTTAATTATTTGATAATGTTTCCTGAGGTGCACTTATAAAGTTAGTATGATTGTTACATCAAAATTTGACAAAGGCTATTTTCTACCCTGATTTTAGCGCTCTGATTTGAACGCTGTGTTGGAAGGGGCGTGTCTGCTGACTTCAATGGAAATGCCCACTGCTATGATTGGCTGATATCTGTGCATATGAAATGAGTATTACATGAGGAGCTCTCTCAAGAACTTTTACTACATTTTTACTATTACAGCTGATTGAAATGAACTAATCATGGAGAGTGTTGATTATAGCATTATATTTATATCTACTCCCGTCGCATGGAAGGTTGCAGTGATGAGCTTTGTAGCCAAAGACAGACTGTTGAGTGCATGCATGCAGCGATCTCATCATTGCAACTCGAGTTTTGCACTTTCACAAATTCATCATAACTAACAGTGCAAACACATTGTAAATAAGAGATTCATAATGCTCTACTTGGACATCACCATAGCTGAAAATAAATAATCACTTTCCTAGGATTAGCATTCTTTGGAAGGTAATGTTTTTTTAAGTCCAGTGATCCTGTATTGCGCTTCTCTCCTTCTCATCTCACTAACGCACCAGTGGGCGGGGGCAAAGACGTGATGATGCAGAAGCAGGCATTGATCTGACTCTGCAGAGGCGGGCTGCACTATTACGTCATAATGTGACAAAATCTGAAACAAGTCGTTTTTTGAGCTTGGTTTCAATAAAAGCTGTTTTTGGACTAACAAGGACGTTTTGAACTTTTTATAGTACAATGACCTTTTACATGTCAAAACATCAAGGAAAATTTGATTTCTCAATTCATGACCCCTTGAATGGAGAATTTGTAGAATTCCAGCTAGAGTCGTTTTCTGAAACAAGGAATTGAGGAAGTTGCTGAAATGTATTAGTGACTGAGGTTGTAGACCTTTGGACAAGCAGGACATGATACAATAATGATTGCCACCTCTCCTGAGTAAACACCAGACCTGATTCACTGACACAAGTTACTATAGCAACGTTTAGTCTTTCAGAGGCCAGCTTTAAGAAGATAATCAGTGAATAACACCAGTGATGTCTTTTGTGACATGTTGTGCTCCTGTTGTTCAAAACAAATTAGAATTTAAAGAATCTAAGACCCATATTTTATATACGGTTGGTCAATCGCAATACTGTAGTCAAATATTGTTTCGTAATAAATGCTAAACTGTATACATTATTACTTTTATTCAGCAAGGATATTAATTTGATCAGTGACGGTAAAACATTTATAATGCTACAAAAGATTTCAATTTTAAATAAATGCTGTTCTTTTTAATTTGATATTCATCAAAGAATCCTGGAAAAAAAATGTATTAGTTTCCACAAAATCAATAAGCAGCACAACAATCAATATTTCAAGACCATTTATTTGGTACATAGTTATGTAATACGTAGGATAATGTACATTGAGTTGATCATTAAGTCCATTATAATTAATTATTTCACTCAGCAGGGGCTTTCATACACACATACTCACTTGGTTTGGTTTAGTTTCTGTAGATGGCATAACTACACCGGCAAAAAGCACATTAGTCCATTGACAGTCATTCAAAAGCAGCCATGCCTGACTAAATATTTTCTAAATGATTTGTAAACCACAAGTATATCATTATATTCTACCAGTGGATCAAGGACCAGCTTGTGAATAACAGCAATTAAGTTCCATCAACTGCACCAAATATTCCTCACCCTGGGACATCCTTACTGCTATGAGCTATGACAACTGAACCTCGAAACTGAAAGCTGCATGTGTAAAGGTTCCCTCAAGGCTCACTCAAACAATTCTCTGTCATTCGAAAGTGTAACTTGTCTCTACTTTCCAGTCACAAGTCAAGTCAAACACAGATCATTCGTACGGCAAAAATCAGCCGTCATCTCACACTCTCAGGGGCCCAAACATTTTAATCAGAATCTGATTTGTTTTGTTTTTTTCATTGTCATGTTCTTTGCTTAGATGTACTGTATATGCTTAGACACTGCCTGTAGGCCTATATGAAGGAAATGCAGAGGTGTATTGGAGTAAATGTAATTAGTTACTGTACTTGAGTATCTTTTCGGGTACTTTGTAGTTGTACTGAGTATCAAAGATATTAGCAACTTTTACTCTTTACTTCACTACATTTAAAATGAGTATCTGTACTCTTTACAGACTCTTCACTACATTTGAAATGAGTGTTGCAGTTACACATTACATTTTGCATGGACCTAGCTTTTTCTGCAGCAGTTTATTTCTGCTACAAAAGACGTGATATTGCCTGCTACAGGTCACTGAAAGTACTGCATCTTCTACGTTTTGCCCTTACTCACCCAAACTTTTCAACAAGTTTTATTTTGGTTTTAGAAAATAAATGTGATTGCTCTCCTCACAAATCAACTCTTTCTTGTTTCATGCTCTCTGTGCCTTGCCCTGTACTTTTATGTCTCCCGTGGTGTTTGTAGTCCGTTTGTTCATTGGTTCCCCTTGATTAGTCTCCCCAGGTGTGTCTTATCTTGTTAAGCGTGTTATTCCCCTATGTGTATATATAGCCCTAGTTTTTCTTTAGTTCCTTGTGAGTTGTTGAATGTAATGGTTGTCTGTTTGCCAGTCATTCTGTTCTTTGCTCCCTTTGGTTTTTTGGCTTATTGTTTGTTCTAGTTCTTCCATTAAA